GATGCAAAGACAGGTGGCATGACCGCTCCCAAGGAGATAACATTCAAGTATAGAAGAACTCATCCTGAGTGAACAGATCCCGGATTCCAGATCCTGGATCCCGGATCCGAGAAGACATGATCTCGGCCTAGATGAGTAGGTCCGAGAAGAGAAGAGCTCAACCTGAGTGAGCAGATCCAAGATTCTAGCAGACAAGATCTCGGCACTTAAGTCCAAAAAGAGAAGAGCACAATGAGCAGATCTCAGATCCCAGAAGATAAAAAGGAAACACACAAGATCAGACTAAAGTTGGCCAGAATTGATAAGTATGCTAGGGCCGAGGAGGACATGTCGGAAACAAAGGCGTCAGAACAAAGAAAAGAGAAACGGCTCGTCGATGCGAGGCCAAAAATCAAACTCAGGTTGGAGCCAAGTAAGATCAATAGAGAAACCAAGGCCGACAACCTCAGCTTGAATTCAACCTCGGCGACAAGGTCAAAGCTACATGTATGATGAGAACCCAAGTGGATTTTAAGTTCACACTGGGGGGGCAAAGAGAAAAAGAATGCGTTTACCACTTGTTAAAATTTGTAGCAATTTACATGTTGGTTAAACCGATGTGATGCTTAACGCTTGTTGAAATTTGTAGCAATTTACAAGTTGAAGTTAAGCCGAGATAATTGTTTACCTTCACTTGTTGAAATTTGTAGTAATTTACAAGTTGAAGTTAAACCGAAGTAATGCTTAACACTTGTTGAAATTTGTAGCAATTTACAAATTGAAGTTAAGCCGAGATAATTGCTTATCTTCACTTATTGAAATTTGTAGCAATTTACAAGTTGAAGTTAAGCCGAGATCATTGTTGACCTTCACTTGTTGAAATTTGTAGCAATTTACAAGTTGAAGTTAAGCCGAGATCATTGTTTACCTTCACTTGTTGAAATTTGTAGCAATTTACATGTTGAAGTTAAACCGAAGTAATGCTTAACACTTATTAAAATTTGTAGCAATTTACAAGTTGAAGTTAAGTCGAGATAATTGTTTATCTTCACTTGTTGAAATTTGTAGCAATTTACAAGTTGAAGTTAAGCCGAGATCATTGTTTACCTTCACTTGTTGAAATTTTTAGCAATTTATAAGTTGAAGTTAAGCCGATATATATTGTTTAACACTTGTGGAAATTTGTAGCAATTTACAAGTAGATCATTGTTTAGCACTTGTTATAACTTAAGAAACGTTTACAAAGTTGAGATTAAACTAATATATGTTTTTGTTGAAATTTGTAAGCAATTTACAGGACAAGTACTTGCCGAAGTAAAACGTCAGGTGGCATAACTGAGGTGTGTCACCCCGAGAAGATTGCACAAAGAAGGAAAAGTACATAAGATATGCAAAATATTCTAAGTATAGAATCATGCAAGAGCAGTTAGAAGAAGATCAAAACAGAATTCATGGTAATTGACACGCCCTTGCCATACAATATCATCTTGGGAAGGCCATGGTTGCATGCAATGGGGGCAGTTCCCTCAACATTGCACCAACTACTGCGGTTCCCAATAGAACATGGGATTGAAGAAGTCAGAGGGGATCAACTGCAGGCGGAGAATTGCTCCATGTCAGCAATGAAATCCACCTGCAGCATTCGAGAACCAGAGAAGGCAGAGATTGAAAATGAGGACATAGAGGTCCTAGATAATGTCGGCAAGAAGCCAGCTGAGAAAAGTGAAGAGGCACTGAGGAAAATCCTCGTCCAGGAGGGGGATGAAGAACGCTTCTTTCTTCTCGGCTCAGGCTTAACCGAAGAAGAAGAAAGAGAATTGGGAGCTTTTTTGAGAGCAAACATTGAGGTATTTGCTTGGACACCTTACGAAATGCCTGGCATTGACCCCGAGGTCACTTGCCACCAATTGAACGTCGACAGGTCGGCCAAACCTTTAATCCAACAAGCAAGAGGACCGATGCTGATGCACGTCGAAGCAATAGAGGAAGAAGTAGACTTCTGGAGCCCAGGGCCATCCAGGAAGTCAATTACCCGACATGGCTATCAAATACAGTGGAAGAAGGAATGATAATCAAGGAGCAAGGAATGTTAACATTGGCCAACAACAGACATTTTTCAGAAGCAAAAAAAGGTTACATATGCAAAGAAAATAAAAGTACAAAGATGAAGACCCTAAGAACTAGGGACTAGGGTAAGAACGTCGGACTAACCTACTTCAACGGTTGACGGTGGTTCAGCATTGACAGTCAGCTGGGAGAGCTTCTCTACCATTATCTCGACAACAATTTTAAGAAGGGACGTGGTTCTAAGACTATAAAGAAAATAGAAAAGAAAGCAAGAATCTGGAAAAAGACACAGAAAACAAAAACAAGAATGTAATTCGTAATCAAGAATGGTGATGAAGCTATCAGGAAATCAAGACAAAAATATTGTACAAGTGTGTCAAGCCAAGAACAGTGGCAGAAATCAACAGATGTGTGAACAGTGTGTATTCAAGAAGGTGATTTGGAAACAATGTGTAAAACAACAAAGTGATTAACAATGAAGCAGAACTTCTTGGAAAGCAACAAGAAATAAAACCAGGAAGAACAGTGGCTTACCAGAAAAAGAGAAGCCGGAATGAGAATTGCCGAAGTCTGACGACAATGACAGAATGACGTAAGCTTCACCGAAGGAGAGGAACGAAGACAGTTGCAGAAGCTTGAAAGCTTGGAACAATGACGGATTTAAGCAAAAGAACTAGAAAGAGAAAAAGCCAAAGGATTGAATGAAAAAAGAGAAAAATAGTCAAGAAGATGACAAAGTTCAAGAATAAAGCCAAGTACATAGGCACTAAGTAAATATGTGAAGAACAAGAAAGTAATGACCCAGATACGATGCTAGCAACAGAAAACGGATATGACAAGAACAGTGCCAGGCATTCAAATAATTCAAAACTTAAAGACAGACGAAAATAGAAGGCAACAGATGGCAAGTAAACAGATTCAGAAGAGTTATGAAAGATCGAGCTTAATAGCAAGAAAAGAGTTTATAAACCTACCAAGTGAAATGAACGCCGATATGAAAATCGCCGAAGTCAAATAGATGACTGGAAATCGAGAACTCACCAGAGAGTGTGAGTGGAGCAGTTGCAAAGCTCTTGGAGTTTACGAATTAATGAAACCAGAACCTCGGCTAGGAGGTGCGATTTCAAGCAGCTTGGAAAGCATGAAACTTGATTCTTGACACCAGTGGACAGCAAAGTCCAGGGAACTTTGAGGTCGGCAAGTTTGATCTCGGACAGAGGGGCACAGGAGGATTGAATGAAAAAAGAGAAAAATAGTCAAGAAGACGACAAAGTTCAAGAATAAAGCCAAGTGCACAGGCACTAAGTAAGTATGTGAAAAACAAGAAAGTAATGACCCAGACACGATGCTAGCAACAGAAAGCGGATATGACAAGAACAGTGCCAGGCATTCAAACAATTCAAAACTTGAAGACAGACGAAAATAGAAGGCAATAGATGGCAAGTAAACAGATTCAGAAGAATTATGAAAGATTGAGCTTAAATAGCAAGTAAAGAGTTTATGAACTTACAAAGTGAAATGAACGCCGATATGAAAATCGCTGAAGTCAAATAGATGACTGGAAATCGGGAACTCACCAGAGAGTGTGAGTGGAGCAGTTGCAAAGCTCTTGGAGTTTACGAATTAATGGAACCAGAACCTCGGCTAGGAGGTGCGATTTCAAGCAGCTTGGAAAGCATGAAACTTGATTCTTGACACCAGTGGACAACAAAGTCCAGGGAACTTTGAGGTCGACAAGTTTGATCTCGGACAGAGGGGCACAGATGAATGAACAGTGTAGGTTCCATCACCTCAGAATGTCGAGGTAATAGAACCTAGGGGGCAGTTGTGGGGATATATTTTCTGAGTACCAACACGTGGCAAGGTAACGCCGACGTGTCAGCCGAGGTGCCACGTGTCCTGGTTGTGACGCCGAGGTGATCTCGGCAAGGCCGAGGTTATCTCCGAAGATATCGCAATCCGAGATAAGTGGATAAGGGACAAGAGTCCTAGAATGAAAAGGGAACTCAACCTGGATGAGGGACAAGAGTCTTAGAATGATAGAAGACTTCAGTTTGTATTAAGATAAGACTCTTAGAGAGTTTATCCTAGTCTTACTGGGAGTCCAAGATTAGCAGTAATCCTGAGTCCATAGAAGTTAGGCTTCTATTGGGACTAGGTTTATGTTGGCTATAAAAGAGAGGCACCCCCATAGGTCTAAGGTATGCTTTTGATACTCAAGCTAGTGAGTTTAGCACTTGATTTATCTTTGAGAGATATACTGACTTGATCGTCGGAGTGCCCCTGGGTGGTTGAACCACCGCCGGAGACTTCTCTTTCTGTTGCAGGTTAACTAGAGGCCATCTATTCTGCCAGTGCTTTTCCAGCTGATTACTAGGCAGGCAGTGTGGTCAGAAAATCACTCACACACTCTTTAACTTTTTTATGACATTGAACTTCTATTTTTTACTAAAATACTTTCTTCCTAAAAGCACCCTGAAGTACTTGTTACTCATCAAAATCAATCTCCTCTACAATAATAAGTGAGAAGTTATTTGGTAGTCCTGAGTGCGGCCGTATAATACCCTAAATGTGTTGTGATTGGTAAAAGAAAAATATTTATAATTTTGTATTGAACAATTGAGAAACAAGATATAATGCTTCTGAATCACGAAATAATTCTTCAAAATAAGCTGACACTTGTCTGTAAAGTTTTCACAAAAGAGAAAATAAAAAAAAATGTTAAAAAATTTAATGGGCATTTAACGTTTGACTTTAGCGATTATTTAATTTTTTTATTGTCTTTTTAGTCTAACACATTTGAAAAGTTAAGAAAAAGTTGATGAACACAAAATCAATTACAGAATTAGGCATAACTCTCTTACATAAAATGAATCACACACGTTATTTGAGATGATCGTGTTTGATTTTGTGTTTAATTGTGTAAATAAAATAACCAAAGTCTATTTTAACAGGTATATTGAGGAGGAGGACCTGATGAGATTCTTGAAGAGGGTTGAAATTCATACTATATTTCCCCTTTTTGAAGGAGCCCTTGAGACTGGAAGGATTACAAAATCTTCTTTTAGAAACTGGGTGGTAAGCAATAAGTTCAAAAAAATTTGTTTTTTAATTTCTTATTTTGTTGATTTGTATGTATGTTTGTTTCATGGCAGTCTGTTTTCGTTATAACATAACAACTTAAAAGTGTTTCAGATATTTTAAATCAGAAACAATTCGTCAACCAAATTTTCATTTATTTTATTTTCAAAATTAAAAAATAAAGGGCAAATTACATATACCCCTCGAGGTTTGGCCAGATTACAAATACCCCCTGAGGTTTGAGAAATTATAAATTTCCCCCTGAATGCTATATTTGCATAACAAATTAGGGGGTAATTTGTTATGAAATGTAAATCTCAGGGGGCAAATTGTTATGAAAATACAAACATTAAGGGGCGGGATGTAATTTCCGAAACCTCAGGGGAATATCTATAATTTAGCCAAACCTCAAGGGAGGTATATGTAATTTGCCCAAAAATGTTAAAAATAAATAAAACAATACCAAATTCACTCAGATTTTCAAATTGAATATAAACAAAGAGAACAACATTATGGATGTATCAAGGCAAAATTACATATCAGAGAATGAGAAAAATTAATTATTAATTAATGATAAATATTAATAATTAAAATTATAAATTTCTCAACCAATGTATAATAATTTTTAAAAATTACCACTGAATATTAATTTCCCATACAACAATGATTCATCCCCCTTTTCCTCCCACCCCCTTTGACTCCCTCTCTCTCTCATTGGTTACATTTTCTTTTTCTTTTTCTTTTTTTTCCTGCTCCTCCAATCACCACCCGCCACGTGGCAAAAGGGGGGTGAGGGGGTGACCCCCAAAAAGGGGTCCCAAGCATTATTCTTTCCCATATATCAATAACAAACGTGTCAATCCCTATGTAACAAGTACGAATGCTAAACTGAAAAATTTGGGATTGACATAATAGTATTTATAAGTTAATTAATTGGTTTATTTACTTAAAAAAATTAATTATTAGTGGTTGATTGTAATCTTAAATTATAATTTATTTTGATTTTTCATCTTATTTGGTATAAAAAAAAAAGGTAAGATTTTCTAAATTACAATTTGTAATTTTTTGTGAAACTTATTTAAAATCTTTAAATACGTATAGATAAAAGAGTCTCATCTCTTTTTATTTAACATTCCATTTGTTTGGGGAAAAAAGAATTTTCAGACATTCCACACAATGTAAAATAAAAATCCACCACAACTATTTTTTGTAGTTAATGCCAAAAAAAAAAAAAAAAAAACCTTAATTATAGGTACCATTCAGTGTGGTTGGTTTTAATTTTCTAAATTCAATTTTCTGAAAATTGAATTTTTTATTTTTGGTATTTTTTTTAGTAAATATTTTTAAAATTTTAAGCAATTTTTTTTACTTTTTTAGATGTACCTTACTTAAAATATCTAAAAAGTAAATATTTGTAAAAAAATATTTAAAAAAATAATAAATACACAAGAATACAAAAAATATACTAAATTCTTGTAATTTTTTTTTGTATTTTTGGTATTTAGTGAATTTTTTTAAAAAAATTCATAAATATTATATTTTTCAAGTATATTTATGTTAGGTGTATCTAAAAAAAATTTAAAAAAAAATTGCTTAGAATATTAAAAAAGTTCAGTAAAAATTAAAAAAAATATGAAAAATAGAAAATTTTAATTTTTTAACGAGTGAATCCTAAAAATTCAAACTAAACAAGCGGATTTTTTTTTTTGAAAATATTAAACGAACCTTAATTATATATTTACATAACAAATAAGGTTATGTAACCAATTATTATTTAACCAAATAAGTTCAACTTTTTTTAAAAAAAATTCCCTTTAAATGGGGTAGCCTAGTTGGTCAGGGGGCATACTCTTTACATGCTCAACTCAAGTTTAACCGTTGTCCGTCCTTTTTCGTTACTTGGATCATATGATTAAATTTATAAATTATCAAAAACTACATCAATCAAATTTTAAATATTTTAAATTAAAATAATCTAAAAAGCTATATAAATCTAAAGCAGCGATGCTACCTCCACCAAATTTTAGCTCTCCCAAATTGTTTAAATTTGTACATGCCGATTGTCCAGCCAATCATTTGAAAACAAGGGTGATAGTCGCGGTTAACAAAAGTGACAATCGTGGTTGACAAAGGTTGCATTAGTTGTTCTGGCGGTTACTCAGGCGGTCATCCGATTTACAAAATTCAGGCGATTTGGGCAAATTTAAATTCAATGTATTAATCATTTTTCGTAAATCTAATACCAAATGAGGCTATTGGAAACTGATTAATGAATGAATTTCGATTTGTAATTGATGATGATGGTGATGATGACAGGTAACAGCATTTGTAGAAAGAAAGCTGCTAGCATGTTCATTAAACGACACAAAAACAGCAGTGCATCAACTGCACAAGCTAGCAAGTGCGATGGTGAGTATTATCATAGTTGTTGTGTTCGTGTTGGTAATGGGTTTGGCAACAACTAATGTGATATTCTTAGTAAGCTCTCAACTCTTACTTCTGGGATTCATGTTCCAAAACACTTGCAAGACCATTTTTGAATCCATTATCTTTGTCTTCGTCATGCATCCCTTCGACATCGGAGATCGTTGTGTCATCGATGGTGTCCAGGTAACACTCATCTCAACAAATATATATAAATTTGCTTCTGTTTTCCTTTTTGTTCATTTTTTTTTTCTTCGTGTTTTTGGACATGCGTGACACCTAAAAAAATAATAAGAAAAAACAACAATGCTAGGTATCATGAAAAATCTTTCATGAAAATGATCATGAAAGATTTGTGACTTTTGGATTAGACTTAGAATAAAGCACCACACACTAATCAAGGTAATCTAAGGGTCACAAATCTTTCATGATCATTTTTGTTAAAATTGATGTATGTATTATTGATTGATATATGTTGTTATGTTTACAATTCCTATATATAGAAGAGAATGTGGTAGTAGGTGTAGGTGGTAGGTGGAGTGAAGTGGAGGTGGTAGGTGGAGTGGGTGGTAGTGGAGGTGGTAGGTGGAGTGGATGGTATGTTTACATTTTACAATTTACATTTTACATTAACAGCCCCCCTCAAACTCAAGGAGGATAGGTACTAGCCAACTTGAGTTTGGAGAGAGTAACAAAACAGAAAAATAAGCTGACAATTAAAATTGGGATAGGAGACACTGTATGGTTGTGTCAGACCGTTGTAGAAGACACGGTATGGTCGTGTCGGACCGTTGTATCAGACAGTTTACGGGGTCATGTCGGACCGGTTGTAGCAGACAGTTTACGAGGTCATGTCGGACCGGTGTAGCAGACAGTTTACGGGGTCATGTCGGACCGTTGTAGCAGACACTGTGTGGTCGTGTCAGACCGTTGTAGAAGACAGTTTATGGGGTCATGTTGGACCGTTGTAGCAGACACTGTGTGGTCATGTCAGACCGTTGTAGAAGACAGTTTATGGGGTCATGTTGGACCGTTGTAGCAGGACAGTTAAAAATGGGACAGTTGGCGGGGTCATGTCGGACCGTTGTAGAAGACAGTTTACGGGGTCATGTCGGACCGATGTAGCAGCTGATCGGAATCAATGTCAGGACAGTTTATGGGGTCATGTCGGACCGGTGTAGCAGACAGTTTACGGGGTCATGTCGGACCGTTGTAGCAGAGGTTGTGGTGGTGCACCAAGGGGGCGACTTAGGGAGTGCGCCATGAGCGACTTATACATGATACTGTGTATAACCCCCCCTCAAACTCAAATAGGTGTGAAGATAGAAACCTATTTGAGGTTGAAACAAAGGGATTGATAAAGCTGACCGGTGTAGAAGACACTGTATGAGTGTGTATATAGGCTGCCCAAAAGATATACATGGAT